CACGCCGTCATGCTGACGAAACTCTCCCTCGACACTTTGCTGGATCAAGAGACCGAGGGACGCCATCAAGCTGAACGTGTGCAGAACTCGGAGGTGTTGTACGTTCGGTGCTTGATCGGTTGGGTCGCGAAGACATTCGACTACATCAACCGCGTTAAACTAACGCTTCCACTTTCGGTCTACGAGGGTACATGGACACACTCTCCCCCTCTCATTGCTATGCATCTCCTAGATAGATCTTGCGTGATCGTAGGAATATTTTTAAAATTGCATGCTACGTTCCCCAACACTTGCCTCTTCATGTGAGTGCTACTTCATCATCTCTTATTCTGACCATTATGGTGGTTTCTACAGCAAGTACCCTCTGAACCTCTCCTCCTAAGCTGATTTTTTGTAACCAGCATCATCCTAGTGCTTGATCACGCTGTGCCAAGTATCTGAGTCCAACTCCATACACGTGAACCACAGCATGTATCAAACACCTTGCTGCTGCTCTCATTTGGATCCTACTGATAATCTCTTCTTTGCCCCTAGACCGATTTATTTCTTCGTTTGGACTGACGGCACAAAGGTCTATCCACTAGACATGGTTAGCCCGGCCAGGGTGCACCGCTTGCGCCAGCTCACGCGGCGACCATGGGTCAGACATGCCAAAACTCGCGCTCTGGCAAGACCTCGGCGCTGTTCTCGTCCGCTCCCTCGTTGTCCCGACCTCAAACCATGTCCTAGAGCTCCCCCATGCTCGTCTGTGTCCCCCTGTGCCCGGGCCCCCTCCTGGTTTGCCATTAATGCACCGCTAGCTCCATGCCTGTGTCGTGTCCCGCCTCTGTCCTCCATTAGAGCTATGTTGGTGCTCACCCGTGAGCTCTAGAGCTCTCCCCCGTGCCTATTTAAGCTTCCCCGAGGTCTTCCGCAGCTCACTCACTCCTCCCCCGCCTCTCTAGTCCACCAGAGCGGCCTTGTTTCGCCTCTGCCTGTCTGCCCTGGTCTCATCTCGTTTCCGGCGAGCCTAGTCCTCCTCTCAACCTCCCGACCCCTCCAGCATGTTTCTCTCCTCCCGGCGGTCCTCCCTACCCCGCTCGTTCGTTGCCGGAGCCCTTTTGGCCGCGCCTCTCGGAGTTGGCCGCCGCTTGCCCCTCTCGGTCATCTGCTCGTCCAGCCGCCCTTGCTACTCCGTCACCTGCCCACCTCCACCCACCTCTTCCCCTTGCTTCGGCAAGTTGCCCCACCCCCTCGCCCTCGTCGGAGATGCTCCGCATCGTCCCCAACCGCCGCCTTTTGAGGCCGCCGGTGGCCTCTGCCTGGTCGGGCCTGGCCGGAGCCGCCCGGGCCCCTCGCCATCATCACCCCTCCCCTGCTCCTCCTCTATTTCAATCGGGACAGACGGAGGAGGAAGAAGATGAGCGCCAGCCTGGCCCCCCTGTCCCCTGGGTCCCACCTAAGACGTATTTTCCCGAAGGCGCTTTCAGTTTTTCCTCCCAGGGACTTGTTTGTAGTAGTTTTTATTACAGATCAGTCCCTGATCTTCATCACCTCATAACTCCGCAACCGTGACTCCGATTAAGCCCCCTTTGAGAGAGAACCGTCCATCGTTTCATTCCGCGGCTTCACCACACTTCTTCCCGGAGTCTCTGTCACCCCAGGCAAGCCACAACAGCCACTTGCATGATAGCCATGCAGTAGCCATGGTTTCTACTTAAATATTTAATAAATGTTTGCCCGTTAACTGCCTGCTTATTTGCTACTACTATCGTTGTTTCGGTTATGCTCGTGGTTTCATGTTCACCTTCATGCTATGCTCCAATGTTCTTGTTATCTTGTACTACTTGCTAATATCATGTTCACATGTTATGCTTCGTAGTAGTACTGCATGTTGGTAGCAGTGGTGTTCAGTCTGATGCATGTTTACCATTTGTTATCCAGTACCGTTGTTATGCATGTTCCTTTGCATCCAGTTTGTTACATGCTTACCTGATAGTATTCTTGTTATGTTCTTGCATGGTATTTATTTATGATGCTAGTAGTCATGCTATGCTCATGGGTGATGTTATGTTTATGCTTGTCGGTGTGCCATGCTCATTTGGATATATGCTTCATTGTTATTGTGCTCGATGATTTATTATGGTTGCACATCCTTGCTAATGTTGGTATCATGCTCATGCATTGTCGGCTTATTGCATTCAAGTTTAACCGGATAATAATCAAACTTGAACAACTGTTGGCTAAGCCATGGTGCCACCAAATCGAGCTGACCAGTGCAGCCACATTTGCCATTTATGAGAAGGCCCTAATGCGGTCTATTGCCATGCCTCTCGCCGGTGCCTCCAACGAGGGAAGGTTATGGGCGCATGCTACCCTGATCAGGTAGGCGGACATAAGTCTTGTGTGCCCGTTGTTGTTGTAAGGATCCTTGTCCCTATTTGGGACCGTTTATGTTTTGCCACGACGGTGGCCGTTGGATGTCATGGGTTGACATCGGGGCCACCTAGGACTTAGCCCAAAGGGGAGTTTGTCGGAGTGGCTGGGAGAGTGTGATGGCAATAGATCGGTTTTGTCGGAATGTCGTTTGTCCACCCGAATGGGAGGGCGAGGCCATGGGTTCCATGGTGTGGATACAGTGTACTAACCTCTGCAGAGTGTGTGTTTAAATCTATCAATAGCCGTGCCGACGGATATGGGCCCAGTTCATAGTCGGACAAACTATAAGCCAACTATAATAATAACTTGCTTAATAATAACCCCGGTTCGATGATGAGAAAGAGATTGGTTGTAATCGAGAGATGATCACAGACGTATCGTGGATACCGAAGTTGGTCGATATTTATGTAATCGCGAGATGATCACGGAGGTATCGTGGATATCGATGTTGGTAAGATGATGTATGAGATGGTTACGAGGTAACCGCCGAATAAGAGTAAGTTGGTGCTTGATGTGGTTTACTTGTTGCATGTGGTATCATCATGTTCATATGCTCATGCCATGCTAATGTTGTTTTAGCCGTATCACGTTCAGTTTGTGTATGCCATGTATCATGTTCATGATTGCTTTAACCTGCTAATGCCATGTTGTTGTTTGTCTTGATTGCTTTTGGTAATTGTGAGCTTGCAAGTACATTCAATGTACTAACCTGGCGTGTTATGCCAGTTTGCAGGTTGTGCCTGGATTGATTGCTTGTTTGGTGTGGTTCCATGTTTGCGAGTTAGGATAAACGCTCCAGCCCCAGTCCCTGCGGATTGGAGTCCATCATTGCCGTCCGTTGTTCCGCTGCGAGTAGAGGTTCCGCTGCCTCGAGTTGTTATGTTGCTTGCATAGAGCAACTGTGGTTGGCATAGCGTCGTCGTGGCAGTGTTATTCATTGTAATATCGGAGACCTTGTACTCGTATTCCTGTTGTAATAAAGAGCTGGTTTGTTCTATGCTAAGCAGTGTCGTATTCCAGAAGGCTTCACCTCGATCTCAAACACCACAAGACCTTCCACAGTGGCGAGATTATGACCATCATATCAACTTATGGCCAGGTGTGCGTGCAATGTTGGTGAAGCCTTATCGCTACACTCTGCTGCAGAAAGATGAAATCAAAAAACAGGTATGAGCAATGCTAGAACAAGGGATCATTCAATGCAGTCACAACCCGTTTGCTTCGCCTGGGCTGTTTTTTTTAACACAGTATAGAAGCAGACGCTTATACATACGCACATACATTCACTTCTATGAACGCACGCATACATATGCACCCTACCCTGATGTGCATCTTCGAGAGACTGAGCTGGCAATCATCTTGAGATTGACAAAGTCGCCAAAGGCGCCTTCATAGTCGATGGAACATCTCTTCCCACTGAACGTACATCATCGGAAGGCCTAAAACAAATCCAAAAAATGTGAGCACTTGTGTCATGTCTAGGACTTGAACCCTGGTGGCAGTAGCGGAGCTACAACAAAATGACTAGGCGGGCCAGCTTGAAGAAAGCCTAATATTTTTTTCCTGCATGGCCCATTTATGCCTAGAGGCCCGCTGGTTTGTAGCAAAATTGGGCGGGCCACGGCCCAGTTTTGCTTGCACTAAGCTCCGCTAGTGTCTGGTGGACTGGGGATATCACAGTCCTCCTAACCATCCAATCACAAGTTGGTTCATAGTTCACCTGTGTTGTCGGTGCGCAAGAAAGATGACACCTTGCGATTTTGCGTCGATTACAAGCAACTGAATCCAGTGACAGTTAAAGACAAATTTCCCATACCGATTGTTGAAGAACTAATGGACGAATTGGATGGCCCAACATTTTGTACCAAGTTAGCTAGATTTGCGATCCGGGTACCATGAGATATGAATTGTTGCAGGAGATGAACCAAAGACAGCATTCCGCACTCACCACGGACACTTCGAATTTAAGGTGATACCATTCGGTCTCACGGCTGCACCAGTAACCTTTCAACCAGCCATGAATGTGGTATTTTCACCCTTGCTGCGTCGTTGTGTGCTAGTATCATTATAAAATATTCCCCCGCAAAAAAATGATCATTATAAAATATGTTTTTACACCATATATAATTGATATAATGTAGACATTATCATGAATTTTCATGGATCTACGAAACATGAAAATGTTTGACTCAAGACAAACCTAAAACTTCAAATAATTTGAAACAGTGCGGGTATTATGTGTTTATGATGCAAATATGTGCGATCATAACACACGGAAAGACGGAGTAGGAGTAGTACTCATTAGTCGACCCTACGCTCGGCACAAACTTGAAGATTATAAATCACCACATGGTATCGATACTGAAATTGAAAAATGTGCTGTTGGAACAACTGCCGGAGATAAAAATAGGATTTCTGTTGAACAACTCTTGTCTTAACACATATACAAAAACAGGAGTATTACTTGATAGTGACAGTGAAGGAGGTTAATATTCTATCTCAACCAAAACATCGTCGTCAACATATATATCATTATTATTCAAGGAAAAAGAAGCATGCAGCAGCGTCTGCCTGTTCTCCGTTCAGTTCCGACGACCATGAGGCGGGATAGTGCAGTACGTGCACTGGCATCCGTCGGAAACACACTCGCCCACCGAGCTACGGCCGATGCCGCCCTGGCAGTCCTCCATGCACTTCTTAGGATTGAATATGCCGGGGATGGTCGGGAGCACCTTGCAGTCCATGGGGGTCACAGTCGCAGTGGCGCCACCGCCATTTGCCGTCACTGCCTTCGTCGCCACATCTACAGATCAATCGAACAGCGCACACAAAGAAATCAGCACGAGGCGTATATATATTTTACTCCAGTTTCTTACTTGAAAGTTGAAACTAATAAAGCATGAGTGTATATGCATGCGTGGGGCATACCTGAGCAGAGCAGCACAAGGGCGAGGGCTAGTAGCATCGTGTAGAATGGCCTCATCCTGAGTTCGCGAAGTGATTTGGAGAGTGCTGAGAGAGCTAGCCAAGGTTACCGACTGTTGGGATGTGTATTATTCAGCTAATGGTTGCGGGACGAGCTAACTGCCCTGGCATGGTTGTTTATAATGCAAAGGACGGGCATGCAATTTTTGGAAGCATTTTACTTCTTGGCTTTAGATGGAATGTAATACTTCTCAAAGGGAAATTTGGAATGTAATTAAGGGTGGCAATTATATTTTTTTATCGAGTGGATATACGTACTTGTTGTTGGAGTACTAAATTAGTTTTTCACATAAGGAGTAACAAATTACTGTCTCCGTCCTAAAATTCTTGTCTTAAATTTGTCTAAATACGGATGTATCAAGTCATGTTTTTAGTATTAGATACATCCGTATATAGACGAATCTAAGACAAAAAATTTGTGACAGAGGAAGTATTATTTGTTTGAACAAAATTGCAAGTAATCAAGGAAAGGCCTTTATGTGGCCACCAGGATATGCATAATACTATATATATGCACACCTATATATAGATAATAATAATGGATGCACTTATTGTGTTCTTCAAAATTATATGAATTCATTGTGTGCCAAATTAAAAATGAAATGTGTATATTGTGCACCCTACATTTAGGTTTTTTGACGGGGAAACTCAAACCATCAGAACATCCAAACGTTGGCAAACACCCAACTGTTCAGGATGCAACGACGTTCATTCACCTTCCAAGATACTGTGGCCCCTTCTAGTTATAATTCTCTTTTTAGGATATCTATCTATCTATCTATATATATATATATATATATATATATATATATATATATACATAAATACTATTCTGATCACGGGATCAGAATAATATTCTGATCACAACCTGACCTGCTTCGCTAGTAGTACGTTGAACTTCCTTGTGAACTAGGTTGAACTTCCGCCAACATTGCCCAAACGGGGCTTGCGATATACCGTTGGAAAGCTATGAACATCAGTATCAAGACTCAAGTTAATTTTTTGGCAAAATATAAGCGGTTTAAGAGCAGTTTTGAAAATCGTTTTTTCTTCACGCAAAAAACGTGAATCGTATTTTCGATCGCATTTCTAAACCATTTATCGGAATGAGGCATATAATATGGCGTTGGAAAGCTGCTGCAAAACCGCTCCTTCCACATATTGAAAGTTTTCTCTAATTCCCTATGGTTAGAGAGTAATTTGAAAAAACGTATAATTTCGTAAACCGAACAGCTGAGTTAGTTTTTTCGATGTCATTTCTAATTGGCTAATCCAATGGAGGCGTATGATATGGCGTTGGAAAGCTTATGAAAATGCGCTACTTTTTCATCTTGGAAGTTTGTTTTTAATTTTGAATGGTTTAAGAGTAATTTCGAAAATGGTCCAAGTCCTACCGAGTTCATATTTTCGAGCTAATTTTTTAACCGTGCGTCCGAAAGCTTGAACAAATGCGAAACTTTTTGGTATGTATTGTTTCTCCCAATTCTTTACGGTTTAAATTCAGTTTCGAAAATGGCGAAAAACGTATTTTCGCCGTAATTTCTACAAACTTTATCGGAATTGGGCAAATAATATACCATTGAAAAGCTACGGAAAATGCGAAACTTTTTCATGTTGATGGTTTTCTCTGATTCCTAGCCGTTTTCAAGTAATTTTGAAAATAGCAGGATCGTTCGTTCTGCCTCTATCGTGAAACATATTCTTTGAAAATGCACCGCGTGAAGAACCTGAACTTCTCGGTGCGTGTTCCTGAACTTCACTTTGCTTTTCACGTGATTTTTTTGCTAGTAGATCTCCATCCACTGCTCGTAGTTCTCCATCCACTCACGGGAATTGAGCGGGTGATATACCGATGGAAAGCTATTGTAAACACGCAACTTTCCCGTATTAATCGGTTTTTCATACTCGCGACGATTTTAAAAGTTTTTCATTTGAAATTCATTTTCTGTAGTAGTTGAACTTCCTGCTATTTTCACGTTGAACTTCTATGACGTATTTTCGATTGTAATTTTCTCATCCGTTCCTCAATGTTACACAAATGATATTTCTTTTGTACAAACCTCTCTCACAATATTTTTTTTAACTTTCTCCGATAGAGGACTTGAATTTACAAAAATAATATTCCTGCCGTTTTGAGGTAAACTAGAAAATGGCGAGATCATGATTTCTGCGTTCGTCTCGAACGGAAATGCACTGCGTGAAGTAGTAAAACTTCTGGGGCATGTCTGTTTGAACTTCACTTTGTTTTTGACGTGCTATTTTTTGCACTGCGTGAAGTAGTTGAACTTCTGGGGCATGTCTGTTTGAACTTCACTCTGTTTCACTTTATTGTATTTTTCTTATATGAAACACACACCACGTAGTACGTGAACTTCTGGTTGTTATCACGTTGAACTTCTCTCTGCTTTGAGAGAGTTATTTTAAAACACAAAAAACAACATATTTTTATGTATTTTGGACATCTAAATACACGGTAAACCTTTCTCACAAGAATTTTTGAACTTTTCCTCGCTGAGCACTTGAACTTTTAGTAACCATGTTTTTCATTTATGAGTTGTTTTTAAAAGTGCAAAAATTGGCGTTGTGTTTTTTATTTTTTGAACGGGTAAATCCTTGGTTTTTAATAAACTATGAATTTCTCTGTTGTTTCAATTTGAACTTCAACTTTTTATATTTTTGAGTAAAGAATTGTATTGGATTTTTATATGGAAAATCTCGAACTTGGAAATATAAGGTTAACCTCTCTCGCAAGAATTTTTGAACTTCCCCGGACAGAGCACTTGAACTTCTTTCAACAAACCTTTTAAGCTTTTATTTTTCTATACTTTTTATTCTCATTTGAAATGCATTCCTTGCAGTACTTGAACTTCCCACTGTTTTCACTATGAACTTCTGTCACATTTTTGTGTATACATCAAATTACACGCAATTGAAGGTCGGACATCAATTTTTGACATTTTAACACATGTAATTGGAGGTCGGATGTCCCGCGATATAAATTCTGAACCATGCACGAAGGAGCACGTGCACTTCTAGCAACAAATCTGAGTTTTTTATATACTTCAAACTTCTATGTTATTTTAATTTAAACTTCTTAGACTTATTCTTAGAAATAAATACGTTTTTAAATAAATATGTTTCTTAGAAATAAATATGTTTTTTAAATTGCACTTCACAATTTTATCTTGCTTAGAGACGGTAATAATTTGAGTTTCCCGTATACGTCAACTTCTCATTTATTTTAATTTGAACTTCATCATTTCATTATGTGAAACTTTTAATCCTAGTTTTTTTAATAAACATCGAACCACGTCGTTATTTTATATTGAACTTCTGTTTTTTTAAACGAGAAAACAATTTGAAACTTTAATTTTTCCTTTTTTTTAATTTCAATTTGTTCATTTTATTATTTTGTAACGAGAAAATATCCACGTGTCCTCGATGCATCGATGCGGCTATAGCTCCCACGTGTCGAGGCACGACTTAGAGACATAACCGCATTGAAAGCAATGTCGCAAGTCAGGCAATCATTACAACATCCCATGTATTATATCATAAAAGGGGGAGATACATAGTTGGCTTACACTCGCCACGTCACATCAGAGTACATAAATAACATCCATCAGACAAACACTCATGGCCCGTCTACGGCGCCAAAATAGAAAAGAATCCAACATGCGACAAGGCCCTGAATCGAACCCCCAACTAGGCACCACTACTGATCATCAGGAAAAGACACGTAGTAACGCTGAGAGTCCTCGTCGAACTCCCACTTGAGCTCGTAATCGTCACCTGGAGCGGAATCACCTGGACCTGCATCTGGAGTTATAGTATCTGTGAGCCACAGGGACTCAGCAATCTCGCACCCTCGCGATCAAAACTATTTAAGCTTATAGGGAGGATAAGGCAAGTATATGTGGAGCTTCAGCAAGCGACTAGCATATGGTGGCTAACTTATTCGCAAAAGAGAGCGAGAAGAGGAGGCAAGGCGTGAGCGAGAATCTAGAAGAACAACCTGCGCAAGCATTACTCCAACACCGTGTCCACTTCCCGGACTCCGCCGAGAAGAGGCCATAACGGTAACACACTCAGTTGATTCATTTTAATTAAGTTAAGGTTCGAGTTATCTACAACCGGACATTAACAAATTCCCATCCGCACATAACCGCGGGCACGGCTTTCGAAAGTTCAATCCCTGCAGGGGAGTCCCAACTTAGCCCATGACAAGCTCTCACGGTCAACGAAGGAATAGACCTCCACCCGAGACACACCGATCAGACTCGGCAACCCGGTACAACAAAACAATTCGACAGGTTAAAACAAGACCAGCAACACCGCCCGAATGTGCCGACAAATCCCGATAGGAGCTGCACATATGTCTTTCTCAGGGCACACTCAGATGAGCCAGACGTCGGGTAAGCCAGCCCAGAGTTGCCCCTGGTAGCCTCGGACATCGCTCAGTGGGACCAACACTCAGAGGAGCACTGGCCCGGGGGGGTTAAAATAAGATGACCCTTGAGTCTGCAGAACCCAAGGGAAAGAAAAGGCTAGGTGGAAAATGGTAAGACCAATGTTGGGCATTGTTGGAAAAGCTTTAATCAAGGCGAACTATCAAGGGGTTCCCATTATAACCCAACCGCGTAAGGAACGCAAAATCCGGGAACATAACACCGATGACGGAAACTAGGGCGGCAAGAGTGGAACAAAACACTAGGCGAGAGGCCGAGCCTTCCACCCTTTACCAAGTATATAGATGAATTAAGATAACATAGCAATATAATGATATCCCAACAAGTAAATAAAAGATGTTCCAACAAGGAACGGCCTCCAATCTTCACCTGCAACTAGCAACGCTATAAGAGGGGCTGAGCAAAGCGGTAACATAGCCAATCAACGGTTTGCTAGGACAAGGTGGGTTAGAGTTTCAACATGGCAATTGAGAGGCTGACAAGCAAAAGGTAGGCATCGTAGCATTGGCATAGCAAGAGCGAGCAAACT